TACATGATCCTTCAGATTTTTCCTCATGCAATTGCTCAAGAATAGCTTGACCCTCACTCACAGCTTCCTGGCATTTACCATCTGTAAGGCAACCACGGACCATTTTCCAAAGGGGTATCACCCCACCCTCTAATATGCCCTGCTCAGAAGCAAAGTCAAGATCTTTGCCTAATTTATCCCAACTAGGCACAGTAAGGCTGCCCGAAAATGCAAACCACGGTGCAGCGATATCTATCTTCTGTAAAAATCTCTGTAAAGTACTATGTTTCACTTCCAGTCCCTTGGAACGTAACAGGCCATCTAGGGCCAGGAGAAGCGGACTTGAAGATGCGGCACCCATGACACAACAACAAAGGAAGCACAAAAAAAAGAAAGCGAAAGTAGGAGCGAAAGTACACAGTGCAGCTGCAATAAAATGTAAGGCTCTCTCTTTCATTACAGAGGAGCTGTCCCGCTTTGGTCGCGGATCCCACTTACTAGGGACTAACCCCGCTTTGATCGCGGATCCCACTTACCTGGGACTAACCGGTGCACCACCCCTGACTGCTGAAAGTTCTGGTTCCCGGGTTTCGGCACCACTTGTCACGACCCCTTGCCCGCAAGGAAGACGCAACTCAGGAATCTTCTTTCAGCAGTTTATTCAGGCCCTTGATATTTCTTCTTCTCTCTCTCGGATGCCCCTCCCAGCCTTAATAAAGCATCCCAAGCTCCAATGCAAAGCTGCCGCATGGAGCTTTCTCACAGGGTGGTGAAAAATCATGTGCCAACTTTCCCAGATAAGGAGTTGTTTGTCACAGACCACAGCGGAGCCAGCGTCATCTTGTAATGGCGACCATAGTCTGCAGAAACGGCAGAAGCGGCTCACCACAAAGAGGCTATCTTTTCTCCAATGTATGTTTTTGGTGCCTTTGTCTAATATAAGATAACTTATGTGGGTTAGACTCTGTGTCCTCTATTCTATACCATTGGTCTACCAGTCTATTTTGGTGCCAATACTATGCTGTTTTTGTTACTATTGCTCTGTAGTATAGTTTAAGGTCTGTTATAGTGATGCACCAGCTTCAGTCTTCCTGCTAAGGATTGCTTTGGCTATTCTGGGTCTCTTATTTTTCCGGATGAATTTCATCATTGCTTTTTCTATTTCTATAAGGAATGTCATTGGGCCTGCCCTTGCTTTCTAAAATTACTTCCTGTGCCCTGTGATTTCTTCACCGCCTTTTTTCCCCTTGGCTTTGTTTTGCAGCCAGCCTACTCCACCAAAGAGAAACCTTCACATCTACCACTTGCGGGGCATGTGGACAGTAAACTAGTAACAAAGGGTCTCAATAGTAAATATGATCTAGAAAAAAATTAGTGGATTTGAAGATAACTGGATGCAGATTATGCAATCTAAATGACAGAGGGAGAGGGAAAAGTGAAAGACAAACAGAGCTACAATAAAACATGGAAGCCATTAAACACGTTAATATAACTTTAACAGAAGTAGTCTGAACAGAAAGAATAGAGAGGGAAAGGAACAGAAAAAAAATCAATCAAAAATAGTATTTTGTCATTACAAAGTCATATATAGTCATATAGGTAGAATTGTTAGATTAAAAGTCCTTTAAAAATTGATAAAATGAGTCTCCAGAGACTTTCCATGAATAAAACTCACAAGGAGGCTGGGCGTGGTGGCACATGCCTATAATCCCAGCTGCTTGGGAGGCTGAGGCAGGAGGATTGTGAGTTCAAAGCCAGCTTCAGCAATTTAGCAAGGCCCTAAGCAATTTAGTGAGACCCTGTCTCAATAAGTAAGGAAGGAAGTAAATAAATAAATAAATAAATAAATAAAAATTAGAAAAAGAGCTGGGGAAGTGGCTCAGTGGTTAAGTGCCCCTAGGTTCAATCCCTAGTACTAAAACTCAGAATGAAAATGACTAGCACTGATAGTTTATTTTATGTGTAAACTTGACAGAGCTGCAGGGTGCCCAGATTAAATATGATTTTAAATGTGTTTGTTGAGGGTATTTGTGGGAGGCCAAGCTTATGGGTGACTGAGTTACACTCCCCAGCTGGGTGCTGAGGTGCTCAATCACAGAAATGGGTGTGTCTTGCTACAGCCCCATGGGTGAAGCTATGCTCACCTGTTCCTTTGTAATATAACCCCTTGCCCTATTTAGGATAGAATGTTCCATGGAAGTGCCTTGTGTGTGTCCCCTCCTCTTACTGTGCACTTGGGTGTGGCCTACCCAGGTGTCAGTCAACCTGTTGACAGTGGACATCATGAAGATAGACTCAGCCCGCTGACACCTGACCCCTTGCCTCATTTGAATAGCTTCTCCTCAATAAAAGGGGTCAGTGCGTGCTCTCGCTCTCTCTCTTTCTGTGGACCCTTAAGGTCAGAGGAGCCATCACAGCAACCCCAAAGAAAAAGGTATTTGTGTCTCTTGTGCGGTTATTTCGTGCAGCCCAGTTAGCCCAGTTTAACTAGAGTGACCCCTGAGCCTTTTAGTCGCGAGAACAGAAACCCGGCAGGTATTTCTGGACAAGAGTAACATTTGATATCTTTGAGAATCAGTTGACTGTTTATGGTTGTATTTATTTTTGGGATCTCTGTTCCATTGGTCTTTGTATCTATTTTTAATTAAATACCAGACTATTTTGAATACAGTTCACTGTCAAGTTGGGACATCACGTCCCATCTTCTCCTGCCTCAAAATAAGATTTATATCATCACTCTGCTGTTTCTCAGGTCTTCAGACAGAATTATACCAGCAGGTTCCCTGTGTCTCTTGCTTTCAGATGGCACATTGTGAGACTTTCTTGGCCTCCATAATCATGTAAATCAATCCCTTGAAGATACCAATTTATGACTTTCTCTCTCTCTGTTTGTTTGTGTGTGTGTGGAGAGATTATGAGGATTTGTGATCACAAACCCTCATAGATTTCTATTCCTCTCTCCTTCTTCTCCTCCAGTTGTGCTCACTGGTACCTGCAGAGCATTACTGGTTGCAGGACTCCTCTTGAATACCAAATTCTGCAGAAGCTTAATTAAGTCCCTTATATAAAAGAACATAATATTTGTATCTAACATGAACACATGCTCTCATATACTTTAAATCTTCTCTAGATTACTTATAATAGCTAATATGCTGTAAATGCTATGTAAATAATCATCATCAGATAGAAAATTGGTCATACAGAAAAAGAAAATGAAAAAAACCCACATTGGAATACAGGAAACACCTATGAACCTTTGAAATGCAAATCAAAGTTCTGAGTAACCTGTCCATGTCCTTGGCCAGAAAACTTGCCCTCAGAAAGTAGCATAATATGGGTCATACACAAGTACAAGGAAAACTGGCTTGAAATTATATAACTGTAGACCTCATTTGCTAGCTATTCTCTAGCTAAATATTAATAGACAAGACCAAAGAGTTGCTGTCTCTTCTGGAGATGGCCCTATTCTCCCTTAAATGTGAGTTCCACGCTATACCAAAGCTTCTCTTTCTCAAGATGTGTATTTCTTGCTTTACCCTTTTGAGATGTCTCTCTATTGAGAGAGCACACATTCTACCTTGAATTGTGTATTTGCTTTCCTAAGTAAATCTAGTTTTGTCTCTGACTGGTGGTGCTGAAATTATTTTCCTTCACATATTCCAAGGACCTCACTTGTCTTCAGTCAAGGGCCCCTTCTTTGGGAACTCTTCCAGTGATAATCATGCTTTATTTTTTAGGGAATCAAGGACACAAAATCTGCACATGTTCAGAACAGATGCTTCCCCCCAGCCCTAATATTTGTGATACATACTTGGATTGAATTTGTGAATGAAGAATGCAGATTTGCTTTTAATCTTAAAAAAAAAAAAAAGTCCTGGAACTGAGCTGTTTGTTGTTTTCTACAATAAAATATATCAGGCACTAAATTTATGGTTTGTTTTTAGGGTCTCCGTTCAATTTTTAAAATTCTGTCAACATTATTCATTCTTTGTGGGTTAAATGTTTCAAAAATTGAACACGTTAATTTTTTTCATGCATAATCTAACATAACTTTATACATGTTCTTTATTGGAATGATATTCTGTTAGGAATACTCCATTGTTTTGAAATTTTACAATTATTATTTAGTAGTATTTCTTTGTGATACCAGTTATTGAAATCAGGGGCATTCTACCATTGAGGTGCTTCTCCAGCCTCTTATTTTCTGAGAGAAGGTCTAACTTGCCCATTCTAGCTCTGAATTTGCCATTTCCTGGCTCAGGCTCCCCAGTTGTCGGGGTTACAGTCCTGTGTCACCGGCCTGGCATACGCTTATTATATTCAAAAAATACTCTTAATCATGGCATTGTACTTCCTTGAAGCAGGTGCCAAACTATTTTAATGCAGCAATATTTTACATATTGCTATTTCTTAGTTTTTTTTTTTTTGGGGGGGGGTGTTAAAATATACTCGTTAATTTAGGTTTTTGTTTAACACTGATGAAGTTGACAATGCTTTTGTAATGTGCACAATACACTAAAGAGAGAAAAACACATTTTGAGATTTTTATTGGAATTTTTTCAACGAATAGTCTTCCTATTAATTTCAGTATCGCAGAGGTACGAATCTGTACTATTTATTTTCTTCTTTCTCATGTGCTTGTTTTCTGATTTAGCTTCCATTTACCTTTGAGTGATTTTGATAAGCTAGGTTTCTTATTCCGCGACCACTTTTTTCCTCCCAGACACAATCTCTGATGGTGTCAGATGAATTTTTTATTGTATGGATTTATCTACTTTCCAGTTTCTAAAAAGTGAGATTGACAGACGGCTTTCCTTTCCTTGACAGTTCTGCGTGTAAACTGCACACAAGCCACACAAGGAACTAAGAATCCGTAGGGGAACCAGGGATGGTTGCTTGAGACACCAACACGGACCTCAAACCCTAGAGCTAAATCCACAGTTCCCCGCAATTCCTAAGAATTATTGGTCGCGGGGCCTCATGGGAAAGGTAGTTTTTCATTATTGCGTCGGGCCCTGCACCGCGTTTTGCGCATGCCTCATTTCGTCTGCTGCCTCTAGGACTCCGTCTTCCCTGGTTTTATTCAACTCCTGAGTTGGTTGGGTAGCAGAGTCTTCGTACTCTTCTGTGGTCAATGCGACACGGCTGGGGATTGACCAGTGAACCCTGAAAGGCTGGGCAAGGAACGAGGGGCCCCGAGAGCGGTCAGCGGCCGGTATCTGGCGGTAGTAAGGAACCTTATGGACCCCGTGGCGAGACCCTGGGACTGCGGGGTCTTTGTCAGGATGTGAGGCCCCGTCACTACAGATTCAGTGGCGCGCTTGTTGAAGTTGTGTGTGGGGCCGCGAAAGGAGGAGGTGTGCACAGGAGGAAGTTTACTAGGAGCTCCTGGAGAGGGGGCGATGCTGCAGGGAGAGCCTGCGTGAGAGCTAAGGGTTCTTCCAACGCCTTGCGTGGGAGTTTGGACTCGTTAGTCACTACGGATTTCTTATCAACTTGGTTTAGGCAAGTTCTTTTTCCTTGGTTCTTCATTCTTTAGAGATTATGAACTGCTTCTCTATTATGTTCATCACTGCATCTTGATATGTGCTATTTTTCTGTCTTAATTCTCCTAAAGTTTAGGAAGGATCTACAAGAATTATCTTTTTATTTCATTTGAAAAGGAATAAGAAAAAACCCTAAAGGTTTTTGCATCTCAGGATCATACTTTGTTAGTGGCCAAAACTATTTTGAGATCTCCTGACTCCCAAGCCAATCCTTTCTACTTTGTCATTTAAGTGAAAGGAAGTTTCTTATTAAACACATGTTGAGTAACAGCAACAAAGTTAAATTTAGAATTTTTTTTTTCCTCGTGAAGCATTGCTTTTTGTGGAGTCACTAATCAAAGGTTAAATAACACTAGTAGGAAAACTGATAGATATCAGTCCAGAGTATTATTTTACAACTGTGAAATGTTGATGTTACTTCATTAGATGTAGTAATATAATTGACCAGTATTATTGTTTTAATATTTTTGTGAATCCTTAGTATTCACAAGAGAATTCTGTTGAGATCCATAGGAAGCAAATATTAACTTTCATTCAGAAAAAAAAAAATTGTGCACATGAGCTACATGATTATATTAGAGTCAGGTGGTCTTTCATCATTCCCCCTGATTATTCTGAAGGGTCAGTGGAGTGTTGGCATTATTCTAGGTTATTATTCATTAGGTCACTGGCATCAGTAGTAATTATTATTCATTGTGTCATTAGGCAGGTTACAGAGTTAGCAACATTATACAGCTACATGTTACTTCTCAGTTACATGTTACAGTTAACAGTGTGCAATGTTAGGACTTTTGTGAAGCTCTTAAGAAAGTCCATTGTTTAAAGTTACTGTTTTGTGGACAGGTTCAGGCTTAGTGGAGCTTGGTAAAACATTGTGGTTGTCTAACAAGAGAGTTCCATTATTCCTAGGAGCTGTGTGCCTGAGATCAATTCTCCCACAGGAATCATTTTATCTAGTGAATGAGTGTAGCTTTTTAGGGCAGGAGAATTCATGAGCTGCTGAGCAGGCCAGATCTTTTATGATCCCATTCCCTTTCTGCTAACTAGCTGTGTCTTCAGAGTTGTCTACATCTTTCCAAGAACAGCACAAGATGAACAAGGTAAGTTGTATGTTTGTTTGTCCTTCATGTTATTTTACAATGGATTTTGAAAGATTTGTAAGAGTCAATGTGAAGATGAGAAAATTGTAATAGATAAAAATCCAATTTTGCAGAAAATATAAACCAACAGATAGGTTGTCGCATTGGCATGTTGATATATACTGACTATATAACCTTAAAATCACTCAGGTGAGCTGCAAAATGTCTCTTGGGTTTTCAACCATCAGGGCAGATGAGTTTTGCAGCAGAAGACTGAATCCTATGAAAACAATGGTATCTTTCTGAAAGATACCTTTTGTTTTTAACAAAGATACATAGTGAATAACCTTCCAATAATAGCCTTATATTAATGCAGTCTGTTTCCTTAAACTCTTCTTCAGCAGTGTCGTTAGGCAGGTTACAGACATGGTTCAAGACATGGTTCAAATAGTGTCAATTTTTTGAATGGTCTTGTATGATTCTGGCATAAAACTAGAATGTTGAGAGGAAGAAATGGCCTGTTATGTATATCTGTAACATAAACTTTACATAGCTATCTTATATTAGCCAGGTTTTGTATATAGGTTATGTAGCATACATTTCAAAGTTGACATTCTGGTAAATGTTTCTGAGTCTCAGTCACATTTCCTCTCATAGTATGTAGTATTGTTTCTACACTTTTTTTTGGAGTTTATCTAAATAAAGGTCAATCAATGACTAGATTGTGGTTGCATTCCTTGAATAAGTGCTACATTATCCTACTGATTTTTGTCCTTGGATGACTCCTCTGTCAGTATCTGATAGCATTCTTTTGATGCTTTGTTTCTGGAGTCTTCCTTATCGTGTTCAGTTCCAAGTTTTCATACTTTGTCTTATAGTCTTGTTGAAATACGTACATTAAAAACATATAGCTGGTGGAGCAATACTGTTTATTATTTTGAGTGCTTTTAAGTGTCTTCAAGCTTAGATGATACACATTTTCCATCCCACTTCACCAGTAGCTGTTAAGAAATCAAAAGGGGACAGAAGAAAGTTGCAAAAGCAGAATGAATGACAGAATAGCAGGATGGCAGAATGGCAGAAAGGCAGAAAGCCCCTTGTCCAAGCTGCCAGCTTTATTTATATCAATAGGTTACATTAGGTTACTGGCATCAGTAGTACATTATTATTCATTGTGTCATTAGGCAGGTTACAGAGTTAGCAACATTATACCGTTTATTTCTCAGTTACATACTACAGTTACAGTGTGCAATGTTAGAACCTTTGTGAAGCTCTCAAGAAAGTCCATTGTTTAAAGTTACTGTTTTGTGGATAGGTTCAGGTTCAGTGGAGCTTGGTGAAACATTGTGGTTTTCTAACAAGAGAGTTCCTTTATTCCTAGGAGCTGTGTGCCTGAGGTCAAGATTGAGGCTGATAAGACTCTAGCACAGAGCCTCCTCAGGAAGGGCATTGCCATAGCAGCTAGGCACTGCATATGTACTAGTTATCTTACTAGTTCCTGGGAGAAACTGCAGAATATTCCAAGTGTGGAAAACAGGGTGCCTGTTACCCCCCCCAGGAGTTTGCTCACCAGAGGAACGCTGTCCTGTACATTTCCACAGCCAGAATCCTTACTAATAATTTCAGATCTGCTCATGTGTAGTTTATTGTTTCTTGTATTTTATCAATGTTGTGATGTTTTGTACTTTAGTTGCCCCCTGCCTTTCTTGAAAAGATTGGTTCTATAAATGAAAACCTGATCATGTAATATGCTCCTCTCTCTTCATTGGCTCTCCTCTTCCATAGCAGTATTTCCTAAAATAAAGAAATGTACCCTAGAGATATCCAAATCAATCCATTTGGATATTTTGTACTGAATATCCTACAGATGTTATCATAGATCCCAAATCTTCCCATTTTCTACACATCCTAATTATAGTCTATAACTTGAAGGGTTAGAACCTGGAATATGTATTGCAGTGAAGTAAAATGTTAGACATTCAAATTTGTGTGTGTGTTTGTGTGTGTGTGTGTGTGTTACCCCTGGGATTAAACTCCAAGAGCATTCTTCCTCCGAGTTACATTCTCACCCCTTTTAAAAATTTTGGGACTCACCCTCCCAAGTAACTGGGATTATAGGTGTGCACCATTATATCTGGCTATCTTTCTACATTTTAAAACCTAAATGAGAATTAAAGTGAAATTCATAAGAAATGAATTGACAATTTCTGTAATTTGTGTTAATTGGTAGTACTCAAAAATATTCTTGCAATGGTCATATACTGTGGAGACTATTAGTCTAAAATTACTTCGTAATGAATTCCTTGAATACTTCCATGGCAGTATCTCATGACAGCACCAGACCATGTTCTCATGTCTTCCTCTGCCATTTGCCCTATTGCTGATTTCTTCAGTGTGTAAAGTTCCCTGCCTTTGCTTGTGCCATGTCTTGTAAAGAATACTGTATTACTCTTCAGCCAAAAGCTGTGCTTCAAAATAGAACTCATCTTGCTCCCAATTTATATTAGTCTATCTTGTATATACTTTCACTTTCACATTTACAACATATTCTGTATATATTATGGTTTTTTTTTTTTTTTTAAAATCAGGTTGTATGGTTCTTAAATACAAGAAGATTTTTAACAGTTTTTCTATTTCCAGCTACTATAATAGTTCCAGGTACATTGTGAGAACTTGTTAATTTTTTTTGCACATCAATTCATACCTTAATGCAATAGTAGAATATTCCTATTATTGTTTCTCTTTTCCTACTGATATATAAAGCAAAAACAAATATCCTGTAAATCATCTTGGTAATTTGTAATCAATAAACACAGTGAGGATCAGTTCCATATGTCTTTTTCCATGTCAACTAATTATGAACATTTCAGGTTGAACAGAAATTCCAGGAGTTAGTGTCATTTAACGACGTGACTGTGGGCTTTACCCAGGAAGAATGGCAGCACCTGGACCCTAGCCAGAGGTCCCTGTATAGAGAGGTGATGCTGGAGAACTACAGTCACCTTGTCTCTGTGGGTAAGACCTGTTTACTTACTGTGTAATTCCAAATAGCATTTATTTATTTCTTTAATTATGAAATATATGGGAATTCTATTTAGTTTAATAATATTTGAGATTGGAATTCAGAAACCAGTGTTGATTGATCACTTATGGGGCATCGAGGATAGTTGTGTTCATCTCTCTAGTAAAATGTTACAATGGCAGTGGGTTTTCCTCTCTGTCAGAGGCCCTGACATCTAGGCTGCCAGCCAAGTCCATAATTATTTCCTGTTGATAGGGTATTGTGTGACCAAGCCAGAGGTGATCTTCAGGCTAGAGCAAGGAGAGGAACCATGGATATCGGAGGCAGAATTCCCAAGCCAGAGCTTCCCAGGTAAGTTAATCTCTATTGTACAGAGAAACATCAAGAGATTTATTATTTTCTTGTAGTTAATTCAGGGGTTGGCAATTGTGGAACATTTTTTAGAGGACTTAATCCTTACTGATTCTTAATTCAAACCTCCAAACACCATTCTCAAGTATTTTTTGATTCATTTAAAAACTAATTTCTATTTTTAGACCTGCCCATTGTCTAGTCTTTGCTTGTCTTATGTTTACTGTTGTTTTTCTTGGTTACTTTGTGCTTCTCAAAGCAGTTTCAGTTGCCCACTTTAACTTCCATTGTTCTATATTCCTTCTTTTGTCACACATTCTTTAATATACTCATTTTTTGACTCAACAAATATTGAGTTCTTGCTATGTGTTAGTCATTTTCTAAGAACTCAGTATATGGTAGTGAAAAAAACAACATCTAAATGAATTTATACAAGTAGTACTAAACACAAAACAGATACTTATGTATAGTCAGTGTTCTGTGGTGATCAGAGGAAACCTTAGTGCAGTTAAAGTTAAAGCAGAAACTTTAATGAAATGATGATATGAGCTATGAAGACTGCGTTTTTTTTTTTTTTTTTTTTCAGTAAGGTGAAATAATAGCTGCTGAGCCCATGAACAGGAATGTGCTTATGTGTTTCTGAGGAATAATAAAAAGTCACAAGGACTTTGGGGAGTGATTGATGGAAGGAGAAATAGCTGATGATGTCACAGAGGTAGTTACTATACAGAAGATGAGAGAATCATAAACTCTGTTAAGTAATTTAATTTTATTGATGATTTTCTGCAGATGAGCAATGTGTGATGTATATTGTGTAAGACCTCTCTCAACTCTATAGAGAAAACATTGATATAGATAACAAGGACAAAGAAAGTTCATTAGTTCAAAGTTCTCCTTATGAGTGATTATGATGACTTAGACTAAATTGGAAGGCATGGAAGTAAGAAGTAATTTGATTCTCTTGATATATAGAAAGAGGGGCAACAGAAAAAGACCTCACAGTTGTAACAGTAACAGATGGAGAAGAGAGAGGTATTTAAAGTATTTGAGGAAGAAATGACTGAAATCTTCTCAAATTTAACAAAACCATAAAATTTTTCATTCAAGAATCTGAATAATATCAAATAAGATAAATCCAAAGAAATGCATGCTGAAGGCACATGATGATCAAAGTATAATTATTAATCATAATTAATTTATTAATCATAGTTAAATCCAAAGGAGAATTACCTGTAGGAAGTGACAACATATTTCTCATCTGACACCATGGTGACTAGAAGAAAGTAGTATCTTTTTAAGTACTGAAAGAGAATAACATCAAACAAATATTCTGTCTTGTGAAATGCAGTTCCATTATTAGACAAAAGCTAGCAAATCTACCTTTAAGAAAATGGCTAGTTTTCTAAATAGAAAGCAATGAGACTTGAACCTTCAGAAAAGAAATTGAAAGTTGGCAAAGATAGGGGTAAAAGTAATAGAGTAACCCTCTCTTGAATTTCTGAAATTATATTTGAAGATTAAAGCAAAATTTATAGTGTCACATTATTCAGTGCTCTCTGTAGAAGAAATATGTAAGACAGTTATATTTAAGACATGGGGAGGGTGAAGTAATTTAAATGAAATTGAGTTTTCTACATTTCATATGAAATGATAAAATATTGATGCTGTTAAAAAGTTACATAGGTAACTAGATCAACTAACTACTAAGAAAAACTATAGAACATGAAATACTTAGTAACACCAAATATGCATTGATGGAATATAAGAAAACAAGAGGAACAAATATGAGAAATATAGAAACCAAATAAAATAGGAGTCAAGTGACAAAATTTGTCTTAAATATAAATGATTAATATATATTAGATAAAATACATATTGACGGTAAAGAAAACAAGAAGCATTACTATAAAATATGTTATCTGTAGAAAACTCATAGCATAGTTACCAACATAGTTTGGTTAAGATCTTGAAAAAATAAGTTATACAAAATTAATCAAAACAAAGTAAGAACGGTTCTGTAAATTTCAGATATGGTAAACTTCAAAATCTTTCTTCCTAATGGATGCCTTTATTTCCTTTTCTTTATTATTTTCACTGGCTAGAAGTTATTCTACAATGTTGACTAGCATTGGTGAAAGTAGGAATCCTTGTCTTATTCCTGATGTTAGGAGGATATCCTTTATTAAGTTGTGGAATTTCTATAAATGCCCATTATCATGCTTAAGAAGTTGTCTTCTATTCCATATTTCTTAGTATGTACCATGAAAGGGATTGCATTTTGTCAAAGCCTTTTCTGCATCAATCAAGATGATCATGTGTTTTTTTTTTTTTGTTTGTTTGTTTCTATTAGTGCAGTCTATAACATTCATTTTTTTGTGTTAAAATACATTTCTGGGGTAAGACCCATGTAGTTATAGGATATAATCCTTTAAATATATAGCTAAATATATGGTTGAATTTATTTTGCTGGCGTGTGGGTATGTGTGTGTGTGTGTATGTGTGTGTGTGTGTGTGTGTGTGTGTAATCTACCATCTATAGTCATAGAGGATATAGGTCTAATTTTTTTCCTGTATTTATCTTTATCTGGCTTTTGTGTTGGTAATAATACTGACTTCATGAAATTAATTAGGAAGTTATTCCTACCTTTCTAATTTTTGGAAGAATTTGAAAACTGGTGTTAATTCTTTAAATGTTAGGTGGAGTTCATTTGTGAATCTATCTGTTGCTTAACTTTTTCTGTTGGGCATTTTTTGATTACAGACTCAATCTCTTGTTATAGAGCTTGTGAGATTTTTCTGTTTCTTGTTGAGTCAGTTTATTTCCAAGTATTTATTTCATCTTGGTTATCTAATTTATTAACCTATGACTCTACAAGGTATATTCTCTTAATTCTTTGTATTTCTTATAGGTTAGTAAATAATATCTCCATTTTCATGTTAGTTATTCACGTTTCCTCCCTTTTTCTCTTTAATTGTCTAGATTTAAGATTTGTGAATTTTGTTTATTTTCTCAATGAACCAACTTTTGGTTTTGTTGATTCTCTGTATTGTTACCCTGTTTTCTAGTTTAGTTTTCATTGTTTTATTTCAAGGTCTGTTTCTAATCTTTATATCCTCTTTCCTGCTAGCTTTGGGTTTCGTTTGCTCTTCTTTTTCTAGTTACTTAAAGTGTAAAGTTAGGTTATTGAATTGAGTTCCTTATTCTTTTTTTAGTATAGATTGTATACAGCTTTAAATTTTCCTATGAGTACTGCTTTCACTGCATTCCATAAATTTTTATAAGTTGTGTTTCAGTTTTCATTGGTGTTTCTAAGCATTTTGTAATTTCTCCTGTCCTTTGACCTGTCCATTAAGTGTTTAATTTACATATATTTGTGAATCTTCCAGTTTTCCTTACTATTATTATTAGTTTCATTCCATCATGACTAAAAAAGAACTGTATAATTTCAGTGGTTTCAAATTTATTGAAACTCTGTGTGGGGGGAGGGAGGCATATCATGAGGTTTATCCTGTCATATTTATTGGCCGTTTGTATTCTTTTGAGAAGTAGCTCTTTCATTCTTTTGCCTGCTTATTGATTGGGTTATTTTTTGTTGGTTTTGTTTTTTGGCTGTTAAGTTTTTTTAGCTCTTTACATATTCTGGATATTGATGCCCTGTCTGAAGAGCAGATGGCAAAGTTCTCTCATTCTGTAGGCTCTTTCTTCACACCCTTGTTCCCATTGCTGTGCAGAAGCTTTTTAACTTGATGTTGTCCCCCTTATTGATAATAGGTTTTACTTCTTGCATTTTAGGAGTCTTGTTAAGGTAGTCAGTGCCTGTGCCAATATGTTGGAATGTTGAGCCTACGTTTTCTAGTAGCAGTTACAGTGTTTCTGGTCGAATTCTTAGGTTTTTGATCCACTTTGAGTTGACTTTTGCCAGAGTTAAAGATAGTTTCATTCTTCTACATATGGATATCCAGCTTTCCTAACATCATTTGTCAAAAAGGCTATCTTTTCTCCGGTGTATGTTTTGGCACATTTGTTGAGCATCATATAACTGTATCTATGTGGATTTGTCTGTGTCTTCTCTTCTATTCCATTGGTGGTCTTGTGTGTTTTTATGTCAGTTTCATGCTGTTTTTGTTACTATATCTTTATAGTTAATTTGAGGTCTAGTACTGTGATGCCTACAGCATTGCTATTCTTGCTCAGGATTTCTTTGTCTATTTGGGGTCTCTTATGCTTCCAAATAAGTTTTAGAACTGATTTTTTTTCTAGTTCTGTGAAGAATATCATTGGTATTTTGATGGGGATTGCATTGAATCTGTATAACTTTTTTGGTTATACACGCATTTTGACAGTGTTAATTCTTCAAAATTTTTTCTTTCAGTGTTCTTTAGTTTTCATTTTAGAGTTCTTTGACCTCCTTAGTTAGACTTATTCCCGATTGTTTATTGTTTGTTTGTTTTGTTTTATTTTTTGAGGTTATTAGGAATGGGAGGATTTTCCTGTTTCTTTTTTAGCAGATTAATTACTGGAGTATGGGAAAGTGATTGATCTGTGTATTTTGATCATGTATCCTGCTACTTTGCTAAATTTCTTTGTCAGCTCTAGAAGACTTCCGGTAGAATTTTTTAGGTCTTCAAAATACAGGATCATGACATCAGCAAATAGATACTTTGACTTTTTTTTTTTTTTTTTTTCCCTATTTGTATCCCTTTCTTTCTCTTGTTGGATTGCTCTGGCTAGAGTTTCAAGACAATGTTGGATAGGAATGGTGAGAGGGAACATCCTTGTCTTGCTCCTGTTTTTAGAAGAAATGCTTTCAGTTTTTCCTCTCTATATTATTTAGTATGTTGGTCTGAGGTTCATTGTATATAGTCTTCACAATATTGGACATTAGAGATAAGTTCCTCTATCTCTAGTTTCTCTAGTGTTTTGAAATTGAATGCATGATGGACTTTTTCAAATACATTTTCTGTATGGAGATGATAATGTGATTCTTGTCTTTTACTCT